CTGCGCTATTTGGGGAAAGGCCATATATAACTATCAATTAATAACAGGCTTTATTAAAACCAAAAACACAAACAGCAGGAAAAGGAAAAACAGAGACATCATGTCTACTTTCTTTTAAATGGACTATTAAAATCTGTTCATTCCTACTGTGAAAATTTCTACCGTAGTAAGGGTGGACACTGAGATGAAATATAACTAAAGATTGAGCACAGTTGCTCTTCTCTACAAAAGGTTGCTCATTGCAGATAAAAAGAAAAAGAATGAGAAGATGAATGCACCTGTGAGACTATAAGCATGGATGTACCTCCATCAAGTTTACATTAAGAACTTCAAGGTCAAACTGACCATTCGTCAATTCTTAAAAGAGGTACAACCAACTGGGGGTTGATGTAGCCATCTGTCCACTATACATCCGCGCTGTTAGAACAGACTCAGAGCCAGAAAACCCAAAACACATAGCTTAATCCCAGGTAAATAGCCAAGTCGTTCCTCAATAGCAAAATTCTCAAGAATGTGAGTTTTAAAACCTTTTTCAAATGTCCCTCTAAACACAAGGAAGCCATCTTGTGTTGGCTAACTTAAGCCTTCTGAATCTATGGGTGTTGTTCTTCCTCTTCACTTTCCAGTTACCTAAAATCCAAACCATGATTATTATTCTCTACAAACATATGATTAAATTCCTCATTATTTAATTCAAGGAATAGAACATTTAATGTTTTATTTATCCTTTTTTTTTTTTGCAATGTTACTTCCAGAAAGTCACAAATCACATCTTTTTAGAACGTTCTTTATTTTTTCTTCCAAAACTATCCCTTTCTCTTCCCTTTCCTCACCCCCATCACTCCAAATTCCACACTGCAACCTCAGACTGCCTGGAATTCTGATTACCACAGAGCTTGATTTGTGCAGTTACTGTATAATTTGTAAGTATACACCACATGTATTTTCTCTATTTGATGGTAAATATGTCAGGGACAGTGACTCATTAATATTTATGTCTGTACTCCAAAGAAAGTAGCATTAATGACACCGGGTTTAGAACTGTTTTTATTGTGGAGAGAATAGGAAGCCATTGGAGGGGTGAACTAGATTTCTTAATACTTTTAAGGATTGTAGAGCTTGTTTGCTATAATGACTTGAAATTCAAAACATTAAGACTTTTTTTCGTGTTCATGTGAGAAACCTTTTCAGTGCGTGTGCCTTCTTAAAATAAAAAGAAGTGAGATATTGTATGGATAAAATCCAAAAGTCAGAGAAGTAAATAGAGGAAAGATATTTAAATGTTCGTGTGTACAACCAGGCATGGTGGTGCACAGCTGTAATCCCAGCACTCATGAGACTGAGGCAGGAGGAGTGTCATGATTTTGACACTAGCCTGGGCTACATAGTGAGTTCCAGGCCATCCTAAACTACACAGCAAGACGTTATCTCAAAAAGACAAAACAAACAAAAAATTTGCATGTGCATGTGTTTTGTATTTAATAGGTGTTTACCCATTATATTCTGGAGTAAGTTCTATTTTCTATGAAAAGAAAAGGAAAGGTATGGTTGCTTTTATTTAAAAACTCAGAAACTGGGAAATTGGAAAGCTAAGTGACTTAGCCACGTTCACCAATCCAGTCAACATGTACATCTGGCCATGAGAAGTAGGGTGATAATTACAAGGTGTTTTCTATTTTCCTTCCTCTGCTTATTACTTTATCACAGTTGGTCAGAAACAGCACCCCTTCAAGGCCACATTTTTCATTGTGAAAATAGGGATAAGCCACCTAAGAAAGTCAGAGAGCACGGAGAAGGAAAGAGCCCAGAAAGCCGAGCACTACACTAAGGGCTTATTTTTCAGCCAGTACAGCAATGCTCTCCAACTTCCCGTGCCACCCCGCCTCACTTAAGAGAATGCTTGCTGGGAAAATGCAGCACAAAAGTGAAAAGCAACAGTATGCTCCACTTTGTGGGAAAGGAAGAAGAGAGGCACTCAAAAAACTTTTCACAAATCATTTGGGCATTACTAGTTTAGAATGGATTTTCCTGGGGCACAGCCCCTGGCCAAGGTAGTGATCAAGCATCAGGGAAAGATAGAGAGGAGGAGAAACTGACTCTGAAAGGCCTTTCCCCTGGAGACATTTGAAGGGAAGAAGATGGAAACCTAGCTAAGACAGACCCTGGCCAAGGCAGAGACATTTTTGCATATTCCACCGCTTTTATATTTAAATGCCTATGCCTTAGGAGCAAAAACATTATGTTAAAATACAGACTGTCCTTAATCTAAATGTTTTGACTTAGGATTTTTTTTTTTTTGCACTTTAAAATGATATAAAAATACTATACATTTATTTGCAATCCTGTCTGACTTTGAATTTTTCCCAGCCTTGTTAAGAATGCCCTCTTACCAGGCTGGGTAGTGCCAGCAATCAGGAAGGGAAACGAGCAAGCTTCTTCAGGGTACTGTGCTGCTAAACTGTGTTGCTATGATGTTCAGGAGCTTTGATCTATTAAACGCATTCTAACTAAAGTATGCTGAACATTTAAAGTTTAAATACTTATTTCAGTAAAAGACTTGTCTCTCCTTCTGCCCTCACATTTTCCCGAGGTTCTTACCACCTTCTGAACCAGCTGTGGAAAGCCTCTCTCCTGAGTGTGTTTACATGTTGTGATAAAAAACGGAGTGAATGCTCCTGGCAAGGGTCACTCAACAGAAAGGCAGATTTATCAAAAAAAAAAAAAAAAAAAAAAAATATGGTGCATTTTCTTCCATTTTATTCACCCAGTCTGGCACCATATGACTTCTGCCTCTCCCCCAATTCAAAGTGACTGTGAAAGGTAAATATTTTTAATTCATTCAAGACTTCCGAGGGATTCACAGGAGTGTAACTAGGGACCCTCAGGAAAGAGGACTTGAGAACTACATCAGAAAGGGGCAAAAATGGTGGAAAATCCTTGTTCTAGCCCAGATAGGAATCTTTCAAATGGGATTAATGGCGATGTCTTTTACTATAAGAAATTTAAATGTTTGCTATATTTTTTTTATCCCAATTAGTATTTTCTACTTTTCATGAGTTTATTAGGACAGGATACTCTCATAGGTTAAGTACCATTTGTAGGAATTTTAAGAAATAAAACTCAGGTATTATCAGTATATTTGCCTTTAAAAAGTCCCAATATTGACTTGCTTTTAAAATTTTTAACCAAAAGCTTGCTGCAAACATTTACATTAAGTAAATGGAGAAACTAGGTGAAAGCTAAGAGCTGAGAGGATCAGGTTAGTGAGTTAGACAATTTTTCAGTCTTCCTAGTTCCTAAGTGTTGGAACTATTTTATTTAATATCCAATGAATATTAACTTTGGGTTCATATTGATTTTTATAAATTGACAATTTTTCCATTTTAAGAAAGAAAGTACATATTTTCCCAATGTTTCTTGCAAAGAATTCCATGATGCTATTGCTTTTTTTTTTTTTTCAAGACAGGGTCTCACCGTGCAGTTTAGGCTGGTCTTAAGTTCACTTTGTGGCCCAGGCTGGTCTCGAACTTGCTTGATACTGTTGTGACAGAATCTAAATGGAGATGAGGATATAGTTCAGCAGCACAGTGTTTACCTGGCCAGAGTGAGATCCTGAGTTTGATTCCTGTTACCACCAAAAAAAACCCTAAAAAACCTAAATGGAAAATATTTGATATAGTAAATCAGGTGTTCATTCCTTCTTTACTGTTTAAATGTAACTAGAGTGATTCCCTGCTTCTCCACAATTTTGCTTTCCAAGATTTCAGTTATTCATGGTCAGCAACAGTTCTAAATATAATAGACAAAATTTCAGAAATAAACAGTTAAGTTTTAAATTGCGCATTATTTAGAAGACTGACATAGAATCTTGCTCCTCATCTTGTTTTGTCTCAGAATACATTCTGCCCCAGTGTATCCACTGTATACATACGACCTACCTGGAAAATTGTAGGTCATCTTAGCCTGGAGTCAAGGCACATCACAGGGGAGAGGAACAAAGGTGCTCACATCAGGTGCAGAGCAGGCACAGTGCCAAAGGAAAAGGGGACAAGGACCAGTCTGAGGGCTCACAGCCTCGTCTCCAGGACCCAGGCAGACCCCTCAGCGCCTCTGAAGCCATTCAAGTCAGCCTCCAGCTTACCCATGACCCAACCACATGCTGAAATAGGAAATGATCTTAATCCATCCACTGACATGGCAATTTTCACCTGTCCATCTCGGTGTCCTAATAAGCTGGCCCCCTTACTAGCATCATAATTCTGCATCACCTTGCAGTGATATTGAGAACTCTTTTTCACTTCTCAGTGGCTAACAACAAAAGCTGAACCTGAGTGCTGTTCAGGAACCTTGAATTGACTCTATGTTTGCTTGGTTTGGTGCAAAGAAAAACATTTTGCATGGTAAACAATTATCAACATTATTGTAAGGTAAACAGATGGCACCCCTGGGTCAAGCTACTGTTCATAGCTATGTGGAAAATGAGGGAAATAAGTGGAAAATGCCTGTGCCCCAGCCAATAGTTAGCCGAGTAGGACTGTGATGAGTCCCACCAAACTCTGCATAAACCTGTTTCTGAAGGGTCCAACACGAGTGTCACAGTACTCACTAAGCCATTTCCTTCCACTGGTCCCAGTATAGGAATGAAAAGAAAGGAGCTCCTATGTGATACATTGCCAGTGAAAGGTTCACCTGAAAGTCCTATTTAAATATTGGACTAGCCTCTGAGGATAACTCTAAGGATTGACAAGATTAAAAGTGTTGACAAGGTGAAAATTTTAATTCATAAATTTTCCAAGTATTTTCATTAAATAAAAAGTATGTCTTCTTTTCCTCCCAACACCCACACTTTTAAAACATCCTTTGTCAGAATTTTATGTTGTGGAATCAGGGAACGCCAAAGAGAAAAGCACAAAGTAAAAGGCAAAGGCGACGCTTTTCATAAAATACTGACACTTATATAACAAAAGATATTGTAAAATAAAGACAAGGAGAAAACTGTATTGATTAGGTGATATTGGAAAAATAAATTCTCATTTTTATTTACTTGTTATCAACCTAGATGTATTTTGAGGCATTAATTTTAGACAAAGATGCAAAGCATCGCAGGCTAGAACAGAACCAGAGAGGAGAGGAAAGAGGAAATGAGACCGGATTTAAAATCAGAAATAGCATCCTTTCACTATTCTCATACCTGTTTGACTTTCATAAGGAATAAAATGGCATCTGGAGTTCTGAGATCCAAAAAGTTTATGATACACTTTCAACAAGGACGGCACACAGTCAGTGGAGACAGCTGTGTTAGATCATCCTTTGGAATCGGATTCACAGCCCGGCAGCTTCTTCACACAGTTCCTCTGCACCCCAAAGCGTTTTAGTGGACCTGCTTTTTGCAGTGCTGTCTTGAGCATCCTTGTGGTATGTGCACTAGCACTGAAAAATTAAATTATTCCTTTGAAACATTTCCCTCCAATTTATAAACATGTGGCCATAAATCTTTCTTCTTTGAGGAAACTCAACGGCCATTCAGTTTTCTAGGAGGATCATACACTCTCAATTTTCTTTACTCTGGAGCACATCTTGACAGGATACCTGCCTCTTACAGTCCAAAAGATGATAAATATAATCAATGCACAGTGCACAGTGAAATATTTATGTGCACAATTCTATTTCTAAGGCATTCGAAAAATATGCTAGCTCCACTTAAAGTTTAAGACATGTTTCCCTAATTAGACAGAGAAGAAAGCAAAATTTTTTTTTCTTTAAAATGCAAGGTACTTCATCTCTTTAAAATAAAATTTTTAAAAATGCAAGGTACTAGCATATTTTGGATGTCATTTTAAAGCACCAACACAAAAGCTTGACAAACTATCTCCAAGTAGACCTCCCACAGGTGGGGAAATGATTTATGCCCAAAGAGTGAGCAACACTTGTTTTTTTCAACCTAAAATATGCTATTCGTAAAAATGTCTTTCAGCAGCATCAAGATATATCATGTACAGGTACAAATGCCCTTTGATGGGTGTGACCATTATGCATATCGAAACGGTACCAATAAACTTAATAAAAATAAAAATGAAAATCTCATTCAGGGACAGCTTGCTATTGAATAATAAGGACAACATAAGTAAAAGGGAAAACATATCAAACAGAAATGATCTTTGATAAGTAGCAGTTATTTCTCTGCTAAAGAGAATTATTATTTCAAAAATCAATGGCAAAACAGCATCAATTCAATTCACAAATGATTTATTGAGAGCCTTCAATATGAAAGGCAATGTACTAGATACTAGGATGCAAAGACCGGAAACCACAAGCCCATGTGCCATGCAGGCCTCTACAGCAGGGAAAGTGCAGGGCAGCTCAGCATCGTGTCCACCAGAAGGGAGGAAACTACTATGCCGGCTGCCAGATTAAAGGCGAAGTCACCCCACAAGTGAGCCTTAAATTGGCATTTCAAGGATTATAAGTAGCTCAGGGAAATGTGAAAACATTATAGAGCAAAGTAGGAAACCTTTGATGTAGGAAATGATGTGACTACGCCCCAGGGAGTGTTTTGAAAGACTGCATAGTTAGGACGTGGTGGCTTAAAAGGTGGAAAACTGGGATTGAATGTGTCAAGTTTTGCAAGCTTCTGTTTGGCATGTCTTCTTCCAGCAAAGTGAATTCCCTGAGTAACACGGAAAGTTGGGGTAAAAACAAGGTCATCAAATAGTACTTCTCATTTCTCACAAAACAAAACAAACAACAAACCTGTTTTGGCAATTTCTGAATAGAAACAACTTTGTGGAAGCCCGCAGGTCCACCTGATGTTCTGTGAAGAAAAAATATCCAAAATCAGATCCACCAAAGAGAGCTACAGGAACGTTTCACTGGGCCACTCTGCCTGCCTCACCCCTCTCTAGGGCAGCCCTGCCCGGTGATGAGAAGAGCTGCCTTCGTCCACAACTTCTCTCAGGGGGACGGAGAGGTGAAAGGCGCTGCCTCCTCAGGCTCTTAGGATGCTGCAGGAGGACTATCTCTGCATCGCCTTGCAAATAAATCCCTGTGATTTATTTATAAGGAGAGCTGGATCACCCAAGGGTGGCTAGAAACTAAAAGGAGAAAGAGCCTTTGGCAACCAGCTAGCAGCCTGCAACAGTGACCTGGTTGCTCATTGAGAGATCTACCTGCAAACCCCACTGAACTACTCTGGTGAGGACCCCAGGGGCCCATAGGTGCCTTCCCAGGGCACCTTGCAAGGGTCCCTTTTAGTAGCACCTTGCACACCCGCATGAGCAGCCCATCTATCTGCAAATGGGAATCTTAGCCACTGCTTAAGTGTGCTGGTTAGACAGAAAATGCAGAAGCCGAAAGAGTTTGGGACAATGCCCTGGGAAAAATCGACAGTGGGCTGACATCAGTAGGCCTATGTTTTATAGTATCAGGAGAAGGCTCACAAAATGTAACAACAGCCCCTGACAATACATACTACAGCGTAGTACCAAGGAGAGTGTGATCATTTATTTAAATTATCATCAGACGTTCAGAAACTTATTCTGGTTCTGGAATTATTTCAGGAAGATGCCTAAAACAATTTTGGAAAAAATGAATCAACTTTATAAGAATACAAATACAATGGCCCAGTGAATGAATGATATAATTTTGAATTTGAAAGGAAATGCTGTTTTGGTAACCTTTCTATTTATCCACGTTTTCGATTAAGTAACCATGACTGTGTTATTTAAGAATGCATGTGGTTGACTCTCACCCACTGCTTCACGTAGGTGGGTTTGTGTCTTCCAAGCCTTCAAGGCCTGTTTCTTTCCCTCTTTTCACAGATAAGAAAACAGACTTAATGACCTCTCCAGCACATGTTGTCCATACACTATATGCTACATTGCTCCAAAGAGATCAAATGTAATACACTGTTTATTTCTCTATGCTTTCAATATTAAAGAATCCCTAGAAGGCAAAAATAACACAGATTCCCTGCAGATAATTGTTATACCACAATCACATTAATTGTGGCTACGAGGCTTTTTGCAGTTCTTCAATATGTGCCTCTTCTTTGGCATTGTGTTTATGTATACTTTATAGGCAAGTGAATGTTAAAATTTTCTTCTAGCCATATTCTGTCATCTAAATGATCTTTTGCCTACTATTTCAAAACACATTATTTATAAAGCACAAAATCCATGCTTTTTTTCTTGAGTAAATTTAAATCATGCTTTGTATGCATGAGGATTTTTCTTATCAGTAAAATTGTGTTTTACTAAAAGCAAACATGGCCTTTCATTAATTCTGCAGAGATTGTTTTTGTGGGGAACAAAGAAGAATGTGATAACTTGAAAATTTTTATATTACAAAGGCCAACCACAAAGCAAAGATAAAGAATCCTATCAAATGAAGTCTTTGTGGAGATCTAATGCTTAAAATATATCAGGTAGTATACAAAATACTTAACAGAATAGGAGGTCCTGGAGTTACTTGATAAATACTATTTTAATACCATGATTTCTAATGAATTTATATGACATGCAGCAGAAAATATGGAAAATTTCCATATGTGTCTGTCATATTTTTAAAAATTTATTGTGGGTACCAGGAATCAAACTCAGGATCTTGTGCTTGCTAGACAGGCACTGTGCTGTTAACCTATATCCCCAATCTTATCCGGCTTATTTAAAAGCAAGCAAAAACATCTTTTTAAAAAGTCACTCTCAAAATACAATTCTGCATGTTTTGTTTCAATAGTATATCCCATAATTAATTTATTGGATTTTTTATTTGCCAACCTGCATGGAGGCAGTTTGGCATATATTTCTATGAATAAGTAAATGCAATACAAAAATGCAATATTTAGGTACAATATATTTAATTCTTCTGAACTAGAAAACATGATTTCTTCTTAAATTATTTCCTTTATTGAAAGTACTCTCAATCAAAAATATTTGGGGTGAAACAATGACACATTATTGACACAGTGAATAATGGCACATTATCATATATCATCTTGGTGACACATAATCATGTTCAAACTTTTAAACAAGCCCAAAGGATTCTAAACTACTTGGTAATGTAAGTTACAGTTGCAGCAAAAGTACTAAAACTTTTTTCCACCAATCTAGACAAATGACTAAAAGAATTTATGGTTTATAATGTAACAGCAGAATTTTGCATGTTTATTAAAGAAAATGAATTACTCTATTGACTGTTTGTTCAGTTAATTAGTTTTTCCCAGTGTGTACTGATCTTTTTAAACTACTTTTTAAATGCAATTAGAGATAATTTTGTTAACAGAAACTTCAATTTTAAGTTATTGAAACCAAAAATCATTTAAATTCTCTAGTCTCAAAATCTCAACATTATATTATATATAAGGAATTTTGATTAAAATTAGTTGCTCAAAGACTGGTGATGTAGCTCAATGGGCGAGCACTTGCTTAGCATACATGAGCCTTGGATTCAATCCCAAGTACAAAAAATTATTTTAAAAAATTACCTGTTTTAAAATAAATGAATTAGATTGGAGAGAGGAATAAAATTAATTATGATACATTATTTACACACACTTACTCCTCACATTGAATGCAATCATGTACTATAAACATGTACTAATAAACAAAAATAAATCAATTAAAACCCAACATAATCACATTATTGCTCATTCTAATAAGCTGAGTTCACACAGCAAATTATCAACCCAAGTAATCCAGAGATGTTCTGATGAAGCCAATTTTTCCTTTAGTGAACTCTAAGATTAAACGTGGAATTAAATCAATGTTTACAATTAGTATTGTAGAAATTTGCCACTGAAAGATTTCGAAAACTAATGACTCTCTACTTTTACGTGAGTCTTCAAGCAACTTGCTACAACAGCTAGACTGAGCTGGAGTTCAGCGACTTGGTGAATCACTGCAAACCACAGAGATAGAGTGTAGAAAAATGAACTTGAAAACACACAGCTGTAGTTCCACAGACATTTCTATTAGCAAGCATTTGCCAATCATTGTATGGAAGAATTTAGTGTGACTCTCCATGATGATTTCCTTGCATACTCTTCTATTGCCTATGCTAAAGTTTATGTAAGCATTTTCTGAAAGAAAATGACTAGTCATTATGCAGCTTGACTTATGACTTTAATTACAAGTTATAACATGATTTTATAAAAATACATAATTCCCCGTGGCAGGAGGTCAAGTGTTTTTCAGTTATTTCAATGATTTATTCCTAGGTGCACACTTGAAAATAGTCCGATGTTTTGTTCTGCAATTATGAAAAATAAAAATCAAGTATCAATTACGTTCTGAAAAGCTGAAGCAGGAGGATCTCAAGATCAAGTTCAGCCTAGGCTTGTCTCAAAATAAAACTTAAAAAAAAAAAAAAAAGAAGGAAAGAAAAAGTAGAGACTGAGTATAACTCAGTTTAAAGGGCTGAGTTCAATTTTCAGTACTGAAAAAAAAAAAAGTCTAACCAAAAGACTAACCAAGTTCTTATACTAAAGTTATTGCAATATGCTTGTAGGAAACCCTACAAGTTTAAAGCTAAATTTCTGCAAAGATGTTAGAGTGAAAAAATTTTTAAAGTTCTAAGTCATTTTGAAAGTCACCATCAGATTTGCCTTTCAAATCCATAAAGCTTTGTCACAAATGTCTTACTATAAAATTTATTTAACTTGACCTCACTTAGAAAAATGAGAAACTAAAGAGAAACCAGCCCAAAAGACAAACCTTATTTCTTAATGCTTTGTCATAATCTGGTTTTAAAGGAAGAGAGAAAACACTTAACAATTCCTAATCAGCTTCATGCAAACCAAATTTTACTGAATCAAAAGAAACAGTCACTTATTTATAAAGTATTGATTTCATTTCATGTTAGTTGTTTTGCTTGTGATCTTAAATGGAACATTGACTTTTTAAAACATATTAACTACCATAAACATTTTATTTAAGGAATAAAAGAATAGGCCTCTGTTAAGTGTTTTCTCATTTTTCAGAAAATTTTACTTTCCTAAAATGGTGTCAGTTATCTTTTGAAATGTCATCTTGTACAAATAAAACCCCAATTATTGCAGTATTCTTAGAATATTATATTAATAATGAATATTAGCTGGTAAAATTATTACAGAAATAACATTAATATTTAAATAAAAAGAAAAATATTAATCAAAATCCCTCACTTGATCAAAGGAAAAGTTTGATAGCTATTGATTAGAGGAATATAGTTTTTAAATAAAATATTTCCTGTGATCATAATTAACTATATTCCAAGTATATAAGTATATAAAAATATTGTACTACAATAAAACTTTTTAAAATATCGTAATCAAATTGAAATCAAATATAAAATCACTTTGGAAATAATAATAACAAATGTTTATCACATGTAAGTTTGCAGGAAGTTATTATAAAATAGTTTGATCCTACATTTTTCACGTATATGAATCAAGCCTCTTTCCTTAACCCCCTTTTTAAATGTTACCGACAAGACTCCTGAAATGGGATAAAATAAACTGTTCCTGTCAAGCTCCCTATTTTCAGTAGTCATTAAATTAAAACAATATTGTAAAACTTTTAAGATCTGAACTTTGGACATCATTACGTATTATCATTTTTAAAACTTGGAGCCCCTCAATAAACCAACACTTGTGTTGCTTCAAGGCTGATCAGTACACAAACTCACACTGGCATATGATACTTTTTTCTGGAAGAGACCCAGCATTATAGGTATGTGCTGAAAATGACCTAACTAAGCCTTTAATATTAAGGTTTTCTGTATTTTAGGTTTTAATTTATAGGTTGAAGAATGGCTAACAAGCACTAAATAAATGAG